CACTGCAGACCAGGGCTACACCAATATTAAAGTAAGAGTAATGGTGAAAAAAGTACCAGTGGGTTTAACCAATCATTTTTGCATTAGTTCTTCATGGTCCATGTGCCTGTGAGAATGTGCCCCGACTGTGCCTTCAATTTCAAACTAAACACCGAACGTGCAAGAAAAGACTTCCAAAGCCCAAACTCAGAACTAGATTTTCTTAAAATGTGCTTTTTTCATCTCTACTTTTCCTTTATATTGCCAGTTTGAAATAACAATTGCAATAATTTAGTTCTGTGAAAGGTTTAGTGCAGTATAACACTTTTGGTAGTTCAATATTAAATTTTTAATGAACTCTAAATCTTTCCAAGTCTCTTATTGCCCAGACTAGCAATATACCATTTACAGAACATACACAAAAAGGCTTCCAAGGTCCCACTTCAGAACAAGATTTTCTTAAAATATATAGATTGCAGAGAGGTGATTACTGTGGGATATGTGCATCTCTCAGAAGTGCCGCGTCCTATTCAAACTATTAGAAAAGATAGAAGGGCCATTTGGTGGACTTTATAGGCACTACAACAGTGGTAAATAAAAGTATTGCTTTATAGAACATACATAGACGAACAACAATACATATAATTAATTAAAAATTAATAAAATTCACTGCCGAGAATATACTCCCACAGTTATTGGAATTGCATATTCAATGCAGATACATATAGTACACATACATATAGTATTGATATATTCCACAATAAAAATGTACCGTGACCCGGTAAAGGTTTAAAAACAGATACTCTGATATTAATGGCTGTAGTAACTCAACATGTTTCGCAATAATATCGCTTCTTCAGGAGGTATGAACAGATTTTTACATAAAGAGAATGGTGTAAATTTATAAACAGTCCACCAAATGGCCCTTCTTTCTTTCCTAATAATTTCTTAAAATATAGACTTTATTTAATTTACCTTCATGTCTCCTAAACATCTAAGGAGTATAAAAAATTCAATACAGCACCACCATGTGATAAAATAGCAACCAGCATGCTCTTGTGTATACATAGATAAATTCTTATTATTTTTGAGTAGACATTTTAAATATTTGACCCAGGACTGATATTATATTTATTTATTACAAGTACTTATATAGCGCTGTCAATTTACAAAGCGCTTTACATATATATTGTACATTCACATCAGTCCCTAACCCTCAAGGGGCGTACAATCTAAGGTCCCTAACTTACATTCATACATACACATACTAGGGCCAATTTATACAGGAGCCAAATAACCTACCAGCATGTCTTTGGAGTGTGGGACGAAACTGGAATACCCAGAGGAAACCCACACAGGCACAACATGCAAACTCCAGGGAGGTGGTGCCATGGCTGGGATTCGAAACAATGACCCTAGTACTTCCAAGCGGAAGTGCTAACCATTTAGCCACTGTGCTGCCCAATTTGACCATGTGAGTAAATTACACAAGGTATCTATCTCATTAGCTGATCATTTATCAGTAAAGTATACAGTCATAAGCAAATGTCCATAAAAAAAAAAAAAAAAAAAAGCAAATGTCCATAAAGTCCACATAAATATAGTATCTGCTAATATTATCATTAATATTATTCAGGATTTATATAGTGCCAACAGATTACACAAAATGAAGGCAGACCATACAGTTAAAATACAATTCAATACAAGAGGAATCAGACGGCCCTGCTCGTTAGAGCTTACAATCTAAAAGGGAAGGGCAAGTGATACAAAAGGTAATACATGTGGGGAATAGGCTGATGGAGAAATTAAAACTTTAGATGTTAGGTGGAGGCAGGATAGGTTTCTCTGAAGAGATGCGTTTTCAGGGATCGCCTAAAGGTAGATATAGTAGGATATAGACAGATTGGGGTTAAGAGTTCCAAAGGATGGGATAGGCTGTGTTGAAGTCTTTGAAGTAAGAATGGGAGGAGGTGGTAAGGGAGCTAGAGAGCAGGAGGTTTTGGGAGAAGTGAAGAGAATTGTTTGGTTCGTATTTTGAGAGAAGGTTATTGATGTAGCTGGGGATGGATGGATGTGTAAGTTGTCTAGGAAAACAGAGTCTTTCAGGTAAGTACTAAGAAACACATCCACCTTCAGATCACATATAACACCAGAATGATGAAGTTCTTTTAAATCAGGCATCTCCAAGCTTTTTAAACAAAGGGCCAGTTGACCTACAGACATTAGGGCGGAGCTGGACTATGGCCAGTGGGAGAAGAAAATGCCCCAACATCAGTAGAAGTAAATAATGCCTCAGGCTTGATGGTCAGGGTGAGTAAGGGACTGCTCTGTGCAATATCATTGCACAGAGCAGGTATGTATAACATCTTTTTTATTTTAATAAAAAAAAAATTACTTTAAGACATCTGCACAGTGAATGATTTTTACATAATCACTAACCCAAAAATGCAGAAATTGACATCAGAGGTCTCTCAGAACTCCCGACCCTCACATTTTTTATAGATCAGTGACTCACAATGTGATATCTTTGGATCAGCAAAGGCTAACATCCTAATTCATGAATTGCTGCATATTCAAATACTTTTCTTACTGAGAATAGATTCCCTATAAAAGCCATCTATTTTTTGCCATGAAAGTGAAACTTCTGTCAGTCCGTTAGGTTTCAGCTTATTATAAAAGTCATGCAGCCTGATTAGAATAAGGAGAAATCACATGGTGACGGGAATAGAATGTCTGAACAGGAAACAGGGAGTTAGAGGAGAAACTGACGTCAGCAGATTATTCCGCAGAAAACATGAGAATCTGTACAGTTTGGTCAAGTTACATGAAGCCCACGCAGTGAAAGGTGAGTCAACAGGCTTTGCACCAAGCTGAAAGTTGGATTTCACAATAAACAGCTATTTCACTATTTGTAATTGAGGAGATTTCCAGTAAAATAGGGGAGTATGAAGATCAGAGGTGTAGATATACAGTGCATGGGTGGGCTCCCAATGCAGAACTCAATAGATATAAGATATTGGTATTATAAAGTGCATCAGTAAAGTTTAGACGTTTTAACAATGTGTAAAAGAATAAACATGATGATTAACATGTTGCTAAACACATAAAACATATGTGTGGCAGCAAAAAAGTGAGATTTAACATCCATACACTTATTCGTTACTAGACGGCTGAGGCTTCAGTGCTGAGAGCACACACTCTCAACACAGAGAATGAGCTGTCAAAGGCAGCTCTTGGTCCCCACCAGGGGCGGACTGACCATTCGAGCACTGCCCGAGGGCCCGGGGTCAGTAGGGTGCCCCATGAAATGCCCCTGGTACCTTTTTATAGGCTTTTTTGGGTGTGCTTTGAGTGTGGGCAAGGACACAGAGGCCCCATGATCCCCTATTGCCTGGGGGCCCCATGAGTTGTCAGTCCGCCCCTGGTCCCCATAAAAGATTGATAGCTGACAGTATTGTCTCACGACCATGTGACCACTGTGACAGCCAATCACAATGGTCAAGTGATGAGTACTTCTTACCACCCCCCAGGTGTACAGACCCTATTTAACCACTTCCAGTCCGGACACTTTTACCCCCTTCCTGTCCAGGGCAATATTCAGCTTTCAGTGCTATCACACTTTGAATGACAATTGCACGGTCATGCCACACTGTACCCATATGAATTTTTTACCATTTTTTTGAGACAGATAAAGCTTTATTTTGGTGGTATTTATTCATCGCTGGGATTTTTATTTTTTTTGTTATGTAAATGAAAAAGTCCAAACAATTTGAATAAAGTGTTTTTCTTATAAAATTTTGCAAATAAATAATATTTCATCATAAATCTTGGCCAAAATTTTTTCCGTTATCTTTTTAGTAAAAAAAAAAAAATACGCCAAATTAGTTTATAACCAAAAATTATAATTTTTAAACATTTTTTTTTACATTTTCATTTTATTTTTTTTATATTATTATTTATGTTTTTTTTTTTTTTACATACTGTCACCCTGGCAGTGCAGTGTCACCATGGTGACACTGTACTACTTGTGGGGGGTGATGACAATTTTTTTTTACAGTGATTGCTTTTACACCCATATAGGATGTAAAAGCAATCATTTCTCTTTCTCTCTGTCTGCATTCTTGCAGCCATTGAGAAATACTGTGTGAGCTGTGATTGGTCAGAGCTTGTCACATGGCACAAGGCTGTTGAGGATAGCCTTGTACCATGTGACCTCTGTGATCATTCACAGATTTCACATGTAGTAAGTAATGATGTCACAAGTGATATCTTGCTTACTACTTTGCATGTGATCACTGATTGGCCAATCAGTGATCACATGATCGGGACCTCGTACAGAGGAGGACACAGCGGGCACCAGATCGCGGTGCTGCGTGCTCCCAGGAAGAGCGTACAACTAGAAATAGAGGGTGCTGTTTATGAACGCAACCTGCCCCTGGAGTGCCACCATCCTGCTGTTTAAAAACAGTAGGCGAACAACAAGTGGTTAAAGAATAAGTTCACCTTTTGAAAAAAAATAATAAATGCACTTTTTTTTGTTTAACCTCCCTAGCGGTATGATTATTTCAGATTTTTGGTGCTGAAAGCGGTACTATTATTTTTAATGGAAATATGTAGTTTTTTTTATTGTAGGCCTGTAATTTTTAGGGATAACTCACTGAAATCTGTCCTAACAAGAGTCTAGTAAACATCCCGGGTGTAATAAAACTTGAAACACAAAATCATAAATTATAATTTAATAAATAATCATAAAAAATAATAATATAATAATAATAAATTTAATTCAATAATATAATCAAACCAAAAACACTGAAATTTGAAATAGAGCGCCAAGTTCGCACATCGCTGAGCAAAGTCGCAAAATTGTTTTCCGTGTCTGATGACGAATTTCCCCACAAATCATTATCACTCAATTCTGCAAGTGGTTCTGATTTACTATCGCTGTTCTCTAGCTGGTCTAAAACCGCTTTTGACCTAAAAGGACGCTTTTTGGACACTATGGACTTTTCTAAGTTTCCAGGCAGAAAGAACAGTAAAAATGCAGGCAGGGCACAGGACAAAGCACTCGGGACAAAATGTATGTGAAATGCTTTGAAACAGCAATGTTTTGCAATGTAATATTCGTTTACAAAAAATGACCGTTTTTTAAAATTTTTAAATTTGCCGCCGGTTCCAGCCCCCGTACGTCCTGATGTCACAGGGACCGGAACACGGAAGCCGGATGCCGGCATTGGCCGGGGACGCTGCAGGGGACACATCGCTGGAGCGAAGGACAAGGTAAGTGCTGCAGGGACTCCCTGAGCAACGCTACATGGTAAGCCCGAGTGTAGCTCAGGGATACTGCTTTTGGTACTGAAACTCTACCCCGAGCTACACTCGGGAATACCGCCAGGGAGGTTAAGGTATAAAAATATTTTTTTCCTAAGAGGCCTGCAGAGCATTGCACCGGTGATCAGCAGATCGCGGGTTCAATCTCAGGCTTCTGCAGCCTCTTGGTCCCCACTAAAGATTGGTAGCTGACAGGATTGGCTCATGACCATGTGACCACTGTGACAGACAATCACAATGGTCAAGTGATTACTGATCCTTCCCACCCCCCAGGTGTACAGACCCTATTCAAAGAATAAGTTCACCTTTTGAAAAAAAAATAATAATTGCACATTTTTTTAATGTAAAAAAAATATAAATTTTTTCCAAGATCCCTGCAGAGCATTGCACCCGTAATCAGCAGATCGTGGGTGCTATCTCATGCTTCTGCAGACTCTCAGCTTCCTGCTCCTGCTATCCTATGAGTGCCCTCACCAGTGCCCTCGCAGTTAATTGAGAACTACTAGCCATCATTCCCAATGCTGATGGTAATTGTAGGCATTCATTCACAGGAAACCGTGAATGAATGGTGCGGTCGTGTGGGCAGAGCCCGGCACGGCTGTGCTATTTTTAAATTGTGAAAGCAGGCACGGTAAGAAGATCCCCACCAGCTGTCACTAAGGGGATCTCAGGGGGAGGCTGCAGATAGTGGAACATAGTACATGTTCCACCCTACCCTTCCACCAGGGGTGAACTGACAGCTCATGGGGCCCGTGTCCTCGCCCACACTCAAAAAAGCCTATGAAAAAGCCAATGAAAGGTACCACGGGCATCTCATTGGCCCCCTACTGACCCTGGGCCCTCAGGCAGTGCCCAAGTGCTTGAATGGTCTGTCCGCCCCTGCCTTCTACCCATGATCCAAAAGTGAACTTATTCTTTAAGAGACACCAGAGCTGGGGCGGAAGGGGTTAGAAACTTGATTTTTTTTTTTTTTTTTCCAACCAGACTATGTAAAAGCTGCCATAGATAGCTCAATTTTCTTTTGCTCAACCCGTGTAAACCAGTGAATTGTGCCCTATCATAAGTAGTCACTGTTCAGCAATGCCATTGTATTCAGACATCTATTGGTACCACTGCTACTTGAATACAATTGTTTGGCTGTGGGGTTTCTTCCATCCACATTGTTAGCATGGATGGGGGAATTAGTTGATTTGTGGGGAAGTCAATCACTGTTTGGCTGATAATTTTCCACCTGGTACAGTCAATTTTTATAACACATTTTGTTGAGCCATGTAGTTCTTGCAGGGCTACCCACAGCTTGAATTTCGCTTGATTCAGCCCTTATTATGCAACAAGTGACATGACGAAATTTTCAGCATGCTTTCCAAAATTGTTTCTTCAGCCAAAAACTATGTTTTTCAGTTAGATAAAGAGGGGCTTGAGACCCTCCGTCAAATTTAATTGTATGGAGTCTGTGTCTTATTGGGGACATTTTCTCTCACTTCCTACACTGGATAGACAAAAGGAGGAAATCTCTCCAAAAGGAGTCCTACTACACAATATTCATAAATTGTCCACCATGCAGGTGCACTGCTGTTAACCATATACAAGGTCACCCATGCACCAGCATGACACTTGCTACCACCAACCTCAACAGAAGAACCTCATCCAGTCCTCAGAAGGTGAAGCTATCTGTGTTGACTGTCTGGGGCAGCCTGTGCTTCAATCTCCAATGGCTGCCGCAAAAGCCTACTGGTGGTATTTGCACTATCCCTCAGGATTGGCAGCATTGATGCTTTCTCCCATCCCATTTCCACCTCGTCCTTCCATTATGATGACTATATTGGCTAGTTACTCCAAGAATCAGAGAAAGACTGGTGGTAGCACTGGATTTTCAGAAGCTGTGTCTTATTGCCTGATCTGGTGAAATGTGCCCACACAACGGTATATTTTGAATCTTCTCTGTGATTGTCATTCACTGTCCAGAGAAAGAAATAAATTAGCCAACAAGAGGACAAGAAGGATCATTAGTAGCTGGCTGAGGATAAAGAAAGACAGGGCTAAATGTCGGAGTTTCAGAGGTCACAGTTCAGGCAAAAGGCGTCATGAAGGATGCATACTTACTGACCTTCCAAGTGATGATAGACTGAGGGGCTTAGGTCAAGAGTGGCTAATTAATATAGTCATGGCATCTAATACACATTGTTCTTGCTGTAACTAATGCATTATGTTAAATATTAATATACAATGATAAGAACTGGAGTATTTGTAATGCAAGCCCCTTTTTAAATATTGCTAATACGGCTAATCAAATTTAGCCATCTTAAGGGTTTATCTAACTAAAACTGATGTCCTAGCTTTGTGTAGATGCCTTTGGGTTCACTCACTGCCCGTGATCATAGTTCAGGTACTCTGGCTGTGACATCATAAAGTTTCAACCTGCTGTGAAACATCAAGGAAAACCAGATGATCGTTCGTCCGATTTTCATATAGTGTGTACTGGGCTTAATTATATATCTGTGTAACTATTTAACTATGTTATAAGCCTCCCAAAATACAAAAAGTCAGGCTTAGAACCAAAATGGTTTCTACTGAGCTTAATAAGGAAAGGGGGTCATTCATTTTATTTTTACAATACAGGCTCACACACCAATGCTGTTCATGAACACTTATGTTATGCCTAGTAATCTGGAATGTACTCACTGTTTGCATTTTTAATAATTTAAAAACCCAGATAATATTTATAGAGAAGAATCTAACATGCAAAAAATGAGAAAACATTTGTAAAGTTCTTTAGTTTTGATCACCAGGGACTTCTACAGAGACTCTCTCTGAAAACTGAGAATATTTATCCATTACTACAAAAACATATTTTTAGACTTTTACCTTCTTGCATGCTTGTCTTTGGCAGACCCAAACACTGTTCCTTTGCACCTGTCTGTCATTACAGGTCTAATTCTTAATGATAAAGGTTATATTTAATAAAGAATTATACAGTTGCCCTATATTGTTAAACTTTTGTGAAAATGTGTTAAGCTACTAATAGCTCAATGGTCCCCAATTGGTACACTGTACATGTGAATCCAATATATTGCTGTCTACAATAACTTATTCTCATTTTCACTGTAATAATCACATTGGTTCATGACAAAAGAAGTGTAGCCAGGGCTGTATTTACTATGACGGCCCTTGTGGGCCAGTGCATAGGGCAGCAGGGTTAGTCGGGCTGCATCCAACCTTAACATTTAAAAACTGTGATAACGTTTTCCATATTTTTAAAATTTTTTGTTCTTCCTCTGGACCATTTTGGCTAAATACAGAGGACTGAAGCAGTACATATATGCAGAATAGTTGACAGAAGTCCAATGGACCTTTATAGATAAGGAAACATGACAGGATCTCACCTTTTTATTATTATTATACAGGATTTATATAGCGCCAACAGTTTACGCAGCACTTTACAACAGAAGGGCAGACAGTACAATTACAATACAATTTAATACAGAAGGATTCAGAGGGCCCTGCTTGTTAGAGCTTACAATCTAAGAGGGAGGGTCGAGAGATACAAAAGGTAATAACTGTGGGGGATGGGCTGATGGACAAAATACACGTACAGTTGTTAGCTGGGGGCAGGATAGGCCTCTCTGAAGAGATGAGTTTTCAGGGATCATCGAAAAGTGAACAGAGATAGAGAAGGTAATAATCATCATGTATTGTTTATCTCTTATGTCGTTAGCACTGCGTGGCCATTTCGTTGTATTCAGTCTTAGGCAACAGTAAACATTTATGAAATTTTTTATATATGATTTTAATACATAATTTTTATACAGATTTCTTATACACATCCTTATTGTGTATTTTATCATCCATATGTTATTCACACACGTTTTTCTCATTAGTGTGAATCTACATATTCATTGAAACTTACCTTTATTTATTAAACACCTAATTTGGATTATCTATTTCCCATGGGTCTAATACCATTACCCTAAATATCCTCATCTTAATGACAGTTTTTTTATAAGTATGAGATATGCTTTGAATTATTAATATATATATATTTTTATTGCTCCTCTGCTGCTGATGTCCGCATACGCCGAGGTTTCCAATAAAATGGCAATCATGCCACTCGCGCATGCATAGTAGAGTATGCTCTATGGCCATGTTGTAGTTCTACAGAAATATGGTGCCTGCGGCACTCGCGCATGCGCAGTGGCGCAGATCTTCGGCAAGATGGCGCACGTTAATTTGCGCGTGCATCTATAAATAGAATTGTAAGACGTCCAGCTGCCATGGCAACACCCCTACTGTAGACATATTGTTATACGAAACGCGTCTAGGAGGAGCCCTTGCACGCCATGACGTCACGCCGCTGGATCTCGGAGGTCCGGCGGCCATCTTAATCACCCAGCTGGTCAGTGTATTAAGCAGCTTGTATGTTGCTATTTTAAAGACACCCTGCTATTTTTAAGATACTTTATGTATGTTTACATGCTCTAATTTTATTATTTACCCAATAAATACTGCTACATACTACATTATGGGCATCTTTATTTTTTGCTCTGTACCGAGCAATTAACCCCATCCCAGGACCCCAGGTGATCCACCCAGACCAGAGGAGGGAAGCCTAAGACCAGACCCTGTTGCAGATAACCCGTTTAAGGGGCCCTCTGATTGACATCTCTAATACCTACAACCACAGAGGAGGGGATCTTGTACCAGGCTGCACCCTATAGGAGACCTTCGGTTGATACATTCGATCAATGCACATTAAGATTACGCTTCCGGTTAGTGTGCAATCTTACTATTTCTCACCGGATGATATATTATCTCACACTGGGATAGGAAAGCAGTTATATCTATATTTCATCTGGAACTTTTTCTATTACCCTACATACTAACCTTTAGGGATTTTTGAATCACTTTGTCACCTTAATTGATATATTTTCTGCATTCTTATCTATTGTTCATTACATATTATCTAGGTATTACCGGACTTCTTATGAATTTATAGATATTTTAATTCTTATTGATACAAATTTTTTAGCGCT